TCGCCTGGTTTTAGCAACGGTTTGGCGTACTCTCTCATAAGACCCACGTCATAGTTAACTCGTCCCTGTGTAATTGTTGACGCTAACTCTAGAGCCCCTTTTACAACTACATTCTGTTTGTGACTCAATGGGGCATCTGTTGCGAGCTCCCGTGTTTCGACCGAGCGAGCACTTGTATCCGGTACATTCGGTTCGACAGGTCCTGCTGTACTGGTTTTTGGGTTAGCTGAGTGCAAGCCCGTGACCTGTTTGGCCTTCCTAGTTCTATGCCTCTTTTGCTTTATGAACTTATCGACTTCTTTATCACCGCTTTCTGGTGCAGCGTCGAGCAAAGATGTGGCGCTAGGATGCAAATTCAGATCATTGCTAATGCTGCCTACCCCGAGTAACGATGGCGTGGACTGCGAACTTATTTGAATTTGTTTGCGATCAATCGATACGTCATTGCAGTTTTAACCCGACTGTGCACATAGAGGTTCAACAACGGTTAAAGTCTGTTATCCTCAAATATGCATTCATATGTTCAAGTACTGCGCAGGCTCATCGCAAACAACTGCTGACTTTCACAAAAGCTGCCAAAGGGGCCCCGATAGCTTACACAGGCCATTAACATCAATTTAATAAAAGGCGAATGCTGTGGAATAAATCGCTCACAGATAGAAAAATTCTGCGTCTATAAGTCTATACTGCATTCGAAGCAAGCGAGTTAAGGGAACAAGAAGCAGTGCTGAAAAGGAAAACACGTCGTGGATGAGCATTAGAGAGCAGGTTGTGCAAGGGAAGAGGAAATAAAGAAAAGCAAGTGAGGGAGGGTGAAAAAGAGAATGAAGAAAGAAAGATAAATGAGAGAGGAAACCAGAAATAAAGATAACGAAAAAATAACGAGAACACAGCTTACCCTTCAGCGGAGGATATTCGGGGAGTGCCAAAGGCTTTCGATGGAGAAGCTCGTGCTGACGCTAAAAGACTAGGCTGAAGTTGCGACAAATACAATTTATTTATTTAAATGTGATTTCGACTGCGGGTGTTAGTACTAGTAACACTAACGATAAAGAGGGAAAAATTTTTGCCAATGACAACAAGGAGCAAATAACGAGACTGATGTTTCCTGAGAGGTAGTAAAAAAGTACTATTGATAGAAAAACTGTTTGAGTACCACTGATGCTAGTAGTAGTAAAAACATTTAGAAGTGCTAGTACGGGAGCCCTAATAGCATTCGTAGAGCAGTCGAATACTATATTCGTTCGACATTGTAGAGCCTTTAATTTCATTGGTTGACATTATAATACCATATATGGCATTTTCGCGTCATTGGTGCGCGGCTGAAACCAGAGCACTGTGATTGGCTCATTCAAGGGTGGTAATGGCAGCGGCCATTTTTTCGTTACGCACGCTATTGTTCGCATATGTAAGTGTGGTATCTGATTTAAGTGACTGTATTTCCCATAAAGTAGCTGATATCTTGCTGTTTTTTAGCATGTGGAAGCCTCTACATAGGAGAACACTTTGAAGACAAGCTAAGCGCGATTATCTTGCGATAATGCGTTAAGTTGAGCAGGATATGATGGAAATGTCCCCTTCTTCTGAATCTTCTACTAGTGCATCATCCGCTGAATCATCCACCAAGTCTTCATATGGCGATTCTGACTACAGCGTTGTCTCCATCGATGAATTGAGCAGTGGGGGCTCTTCGCTGACTGAAGTCCCTGTTGCATCGACAAGGGTCCCAACGACAAGTGTCCCACCGAATGCTGAGGAGCTGAGTCTGCGACAAGAACTGAAGTTGTGGGCAGCAGAATGTAATATACGAACAGATCATCTTACAAAACTCCTCAAAATCTTGAAACGTGTTGCGCCGGATCTACCTTCAGACGGTCGTACGATTCGGGGAAGATCAAGCAAGCGGACACCCGTAACAACTATGGGCAGTGGTGGCCTGAAATATACAACTTATTATTATTAAATAGGGCTTCAGAACAGTCTCGTGAAGCAGATAAGTTCAGCCTTCAGTGCATATTAGTGAAAACGAAATTGTTACTTATCTAGCCATAGATGGATTGCCTTTATAAAGGAAGAGGATATGTAATTTTTGGCCTATACTTGGCCGAATAATGGAGACTTTTGTAAGTAAGATATTCGCAGTAGGTATCTATTGTGGGAAAGGCAAATCGTCAATGTTCAGGCGTTTTTCAAGCCCTTGATTAGGGAACAGTCTTACCTCTCTATAAGTGAGCTTTATGTTGAAAGTCTTGACCGCACGTTTGACTTTAAGTTGGGAGG